AAAACTGTTGCACCCTGTGACACATTTCAGGATTTGTGCTGCTGAACTGGAATTCTGCTTCCTGATGATGCGTGAACATCTTAGCTCATAGTTGCCAAGCTATGTAACAGTTACAAACAGATTATCTAATTGTTTTCAAATTGAGCCTGTTTATTCAGTCATATTAATATTTTGTGTGGAGGTGAAGAGTTCCTTGTCTGCATTCATTAATTAAATCACAGTTTAAAACTCCTTAATGTATTTAAACACAGGAAACTTAAGCAACCACTTAATCATGTGAGTGTCCACTATTTTTTTTCTATATCCAGAAAACCTGTCATTTAACATTTTTGGTTCTGCCATTTTTGCCTTAATTTTAACAGAGATAAAAGTTAGATTTTCAAAGTGGGCCCAAAGGAACTATGGCAACAGACATTCTGTATTCTGGCTCTGCTAATATTCCCTGTGTTTCAGTTCATCCTTCTTGACTTTTTCATCATGAAATTCTGTAGTTCAACATGAAGTATAAATAATATAAATCTTTCTTTAGTTCGTGATCTCCCTCATGTGTTTTCCTAGTGACATGAAATGAAGAAGAGCTAGGGTTTAGCACATCTTTACCATTCAGTACACTTCTCTTAGAGACTCACCCATCTGCCTCTTTGCATTTCTACTCTCAGCAATAGTTATGGAAAACAACACAAGGCATTATTTCAGGTCTCATGTCACTCATGAAAGTCTCTCTTGCACACCCCTGTGACATGAAAGCATATTATGCTGTCACATAAATGCAGCCTGTTGATGGGGCCACAATCAAAAGAAATTTCTAAATTCTTCCGGTATTTAACACTGCAAGTTCAAGGTGATAAATCTCAGAAATCAAGTAAGGCTTATGTGGTTGATTTTCTTTGGTTAGCAATCAAAGTCCCCAGAGAAATGTATTTTTATATTGGTTTGCATTCTTTAGGCACTCTTGGTAACATATTTAAGTTGCCTAAACCTCAGACATCTCCAGGGATCCATGATAATTCCTATGAACTGTTTCTAAATGAGTTATGGTTAGAGAATGGGTGAACAGACTCCTTCAGAAGAGAAGAGCTGGGGTATCCTACAGAGTGTAAGACAAAAAAACCTTATGAATTTCCAGTCTTCAGCCAACCACATCTCATCCTTACACTTTTTTTTTAATACACTTTTCCCCATCAGCTGGGGGATGTGTGGGGGTGTGTGTGTAATATTAAGCAGCCTGAACTGTTCTGAAAAGGTCTTGTACATGAGGCATTTTAAATATCATCCATCATTAGACATGAAATGAAGCAGCTTCAATGATGAAAAATGATTTATCTGAGGGTTTTCTGTGGCACTTCTGTGACTTCTGTTTGCTATCTGTTCATACACCAACACAAAGTATTGAGTCATCAGCTTCAGAAACCTCTGTGCCCTGCAGTGAAGCAATGATGAACTGTTGCATGTGCTTAAATTTTTAATGCTTCATTCAACCACCCTTTTCACAACACTTTTATTGCTTAAGAAATTACTATCATATTACCATAAAACCACATAATTGTTGCTCACAGGCTACGTAATCAGCTCTAGGAAGTCTAATAGAAATGTAGTAGAAAAGATAGGACCAAAACGGTCTTACAGAGAAAGAAAAGCTGAACAAAATTTGATGATGCAGGAGGATTTTAATACAAATGAGAAATGGGATACACTGCACAATGAGATGGAACACAACACAAAGCAGACACTTCCTCAGTTCCAGGGAAGGGCACAGCATTCAGTCCATTTTCCACCAGTTGTTCTTCTCCTGTCAAAGTTTTATTGACAAGCTTGTGACAGGCCTTTCAAATATTTTTTTTCTTACACTGGCACAATGAGAATAGGGATATAGCATTGCAAGATGATTAACAGAAGCTGCATTAATAACAGACAAAGTGAAAAATGCAGGAAAGAGGTGTGGGCCCCGTTTTCCGAGGTACTGAGCAAGGGTGGCTCCCGTTGATGCAATGGGCTTTCACCACCTCTGAAAGCCAACTCAGCTGCGAATCTGGAACTTGCGTTTCCATCTATGTTGTTTTGCGGGTCTGCAGGTACTCAGGCTGCCTTAAAATTAATTACAATTTCCAAGGCGGGAGCCACAGCTGCTGCTGTAGGACCTCCTGCTGTAACAACCACCCATCC